ACATAAAAAAAAGATTAAGTTGTAAAAAGCATATTCTTATTATATACTATTTAATAAAGAAAAATGAGTAAATAAGATAATATATATAGTCAAATATCATAATTAAAAATTGTAGCTTTTGATAATAATTGAAATATATAATTTATCTAAACATTTAAATTAGATATTAATACACTCATTATATATGTTGAATATATTTAGTAAATATATAAATATATACGAAAATTTTTAAAATAAAAATAAATAGTTTACTATGAAAAAAATGTGTTGCATAAGCGATTAAAGTTACTACAATTTAAATTTAATTATCAAACAATTATTATTTCATGCATCTAAAATTAGAATAACGTAACATAAATTTTACGGTTAAAACATTAGTTAGCTATCGAGCATATGCAAAATATGATTTGTTCAAAAAGTTATAAAATTAAGATAATCAGTAATTTTACAAGTATTTGTAAGCCATTAATTGTATACAAACATCATATTTAATATCTAGATATCGATACTATTTTATAAAATTATAAATAGTAAGATTTATATATTAAATAGTCAAAACCTGTAAAATAAATTATAAAAGATATCCAAACAAAATTTATATTTATCACTGACTTGATATATTGAGTCTGGTACAATTATCATGTTGTATTAAATAAATTAATAATATTTTAATAATAAAATATTAATCTATAGTATACCCCGTGCATCGCACGGGTATCAACACTAGTAATTATAATTGAGATGTTGAGTTAATATGTGACATAATTTATCGTGTATCAGATGTAAACAATATAAAATTATCATGTATAAATTAACATAAGAAATGTATGTTTAAAATATTGAAAACACCTAAAATATTATATAAGGTATGTAAAGTATCTAAAATTTTATATATCCTTATTTAAATATGTGAAGTCACCAATAATTTTTCTAAACTATTTTATAAATAGAACGTGTTAAAATTATTTAAAATTTTTCCTACAATATATTATTCTTTTTTTTTTTTTTCCAAAACGATAGAAGTACTATATAAAAGGCGCACAAAAGTGCGGAATTACAAACTGAGAGGCTAGACCGAAGTCCGCCTAGAATCGCTGGCAACGCCAGAAGAAAACCTAACTCAAACAACGAACAACTAGAAACTGACTCCCAACGGGAGAAAAACACAACTAAAACACAATTATAAAACTAAAGGCTCCCAACAGGAGAATACCTAGGTGTTGGCTCCCAACAGGAGAATAAAGGTAACACCTAGGTAAACAGGGGCCAACGGCCCAGACGAAAAACACAAAAACTCAAAAACAATAGGCACAAACCATGCACAACACAACACAAACTAAACAAACTAACTACAAACTAATACTAAAACGTCCCCCACAACAGTCGAATCCAAAAGTCAGCCGAACAAACCAAAATCGAAGCCAGCTTCAGAGAACCAAACCTCCGCCCACCACTGCATAAGGCCTAGCAAGGCGAATGCTCGGAAATCCAACAACTAACCGAGGGCTTAGCCCGCACTCCACACAAATGTAGGAACAACCGACCCCCAGCCGAACCGACTCCACCACAATACTACCAACGTAGTCCTAGGTAGCCTCAACCAAACCGGTCCGGCAGCCGAAATAGAAGAGGAAAGGGCCGAAAGCTTACAATGCTAGGCATCGTCCAAATGACCCAACCAAGAGGGCCATCTAATCCGTCCACTCCCCATAAGCAGCCAGCAGCACCTCAGAGAACCGATGAGAACTCAGCCGACCACCGCGAAGCCCTCCACCTGTCGCAGCAAAAGAAACCGAGACAAAGCAGCAAAAGAGAGAAGCTTACCATCGTACGACGCTGCCGAATGTCGATGACGGAAGCTCGCCGTCCCGTCACTGCTTCACCGGTGCAGAAGGACAGAGCCACAGGTGACGGGAAGAGGAGAGAGACCGAGGAGACAACAACTCAGCCCGGGACACCTCGACGGACCAAGCCACAACCAAGCGCGGCCACTGCGACTCGACCCACCGCAACCGCCTCCAAACACAGTCGATTGACGAAGAGCCCTAATGTCAATCCAACGAATCTGGAACGAAAGGGGACAAGCGCAGGTCCGTCTTGAGTGAGCGGTGGAGGCCGTCGGCCGACGGCTCCAGACCGCCGTTAAGGGGGCGATGGCACTGCACGGATTGGGCGACTAGGGTTGAGGGAATTTGGGGCTGAAAGAGAAAAGGGGGTTTACTTTTACCTTTCAGAATATGATGATAAGTACAAGTTTGAATTTTAGAATTCACGTGAGTACTATTTTTTAGAT